ATATATATATATATACATATACATATATATATATATATATATATATATATATATATATATATATACATATATATATATATATATATACATATACACATATATATATATATATATATATATATATATATATATATATATACATATGTATATATATATACATATACATTTACATATGTATATACATATATACACATATATATATATACATATGTATATATATATATATGTATATGTATATACATATACATACATATGTATATATATGTATATATATATATGTATATATATATATATTAAATTTTTATCAAATTTTATGATGTTTAAGGATGATAATATATATTTTTAGAGGCCCTTCGGCTTCGAGTATTAGTTAGTTTGATTTATAAGGATCTTATCATATCATCGTAAAATCTTGGAAACAAATTTCACCTTCATGACTTTGCAAACCAAAAAAAAAATTCCCATTGCTAGGTGCCATCAAAATTTGACCCATTGATTGAATTGAATCTTGGAATCCCGATCGAGGCCAACAGAAGAAAAACCAATGACTTATTGTCTTCTTTCACTCGTTTTCTATATAAAATATAAAAAATATTGGATAAATTTCTTAAAAAAGTCTCTCGTTTTAAGAAATTCTTAAAGAATATCCTCATTTTTACAAATTATCATAAATAGCATTTTCTTTTCTATGATATAATTTTATTCTATCTTTATCACACCAACCACTGTCTCCTCTACCCAATTGCATTCATTTTCACCTTTCGCTTTACTACTTTTACCCCCATAACTTGTTACCGATGATTCCTAAATATTCTTCTTTGCTCTCTTCGATCATCATCATGAACATGAGGATCGAGAAGAGAAGTCCCGACGTCCTCTTCACGAATGACACCACTGTATCAGGATGGGATTGGCCATGTCGTCGGAGAGCGAAGGGAAGATGAGGATGGTAGTCACAGAGTCATTATATTGTATTTTTCAAGAATTTACCCAAAAGTAATTATATTGTATCATCGAGCCGCGTTTCCAATGTTAACACGCGTTCGTCACAGAGTCAAACAAACGCGTGGGAAGAAATAAATAATAATAATAATAACAAGAAAGAAAAATTCGAGTAAAATCCCGAAGCCGCGTCGCCGACTACTTTTCTTCGGCCCCACGATCTTGCTTTCGGTCTTCCTGGGTCCCACCCTCTCTCACCAATCCCAACACGGAAAGGCAGTTGGGTCAGAAGTAGACGGGTCCCGTCCGTGTTCGCTCGACTCACGCCACGTGCCCGTCAAAACGAGACATCGCTCCTCCACTTAATTACCAGTCAAAATTGCATTACGTGTTACTAATTTAAATGTTTGTTTTTGTAACGAGAGTTAAATATTGATAACAATATCAATATTGGTTAACCACAAAATTTGCCAAAAGGGTATTAACCATATCTCAATTATTATTTTCGAATATATGTGTAATATTAAAGAAATCTTATATTACTAATATTGCACCCCCAAAAACAGTACTATTTGACCGATCATTTTCAACAGTCAAATCTCATCAGCTACCACCTCTCCATCCCAGGCTTACAAGAGAGGCTCTCTTCTCTGGGTTTGCCTTCCACCTTCATCACACTACACAGAGGGTCTTTCTTCCTTGCTTCCCCACCCCACTTCTTGCCTGCTTCTACACTCTCCTGATCGCCTTAAAGCCAGTGGTGAAGCTATCATGGATTGCTTGCCAGCCGAGCAGATATCTGAGTTCCAAGAGGCCTTCTGCCTCTTTGATAAAGATGGAGATGGTTTGTTCTTCTTCTTCTTCTTCTCCTCCTCTCCACATTTCCAGATGGTTCTTATATATATTTGTTTGGTTGTGTTTTCTTGCCTCTCGGCTATTCCTGTTTGATCTTTTGTCCTCTTTCTTAGGAAAGTTCATGCTATCATGGATTGCTTCAATTAGCTTCATTGCGACTTCTCTTTTGGTTCTTATAGTCGTATAGTTTTATGGTTCTATGTCAACATAAAATGATGAGTTTTCAACTGAGAAGTAAATTTCTTAGGAAGTAAAATTACCTCTTCTCGCTAACATGCTGGTAATGATAGGCTGCATCACACTGCAAGAACTTGCCACTGTCATCCGATCGCTGGGTCAGGACCCGAGTGAAGACGAGCTGAAATGCATGATCAAGGAGGTTGACATCAATGGCAATGGCACCATAGAATTTGCGGAGTTCCTGAATTTAATGGCCAGAAAAATTAAGGTATAATACAAGCAAGCATCCAATCTTACAAGTATACGTAACCTAATTTTATGACCTTTATCAATTCAGGAACAACGTTTGATTTTGGTGGTGCAGGAGACGGATACCGAGGAGGAACTAAGGGAAGCCTTCAAAGTGTTTGACAAAGACCAAAATGGATTCATATCAGCCGGCGAGGTAAGTGTTGGATATTGAGAAAGACTTGTGCTTGGTTTTTGAACAGCATGAAGGTTTCACGTTATGGTCCTCTCTCCTTATATTATTTCTACCTTAATCCACTACGAAGAACACAAACGAGTCTAACTCGGTCGTGAAATGGACCTTTAATTTGGTGGCATGCAGCTGAGGAATGTGATGATGAATCTTGGGGAGAAAATGACAGATGAAGAGGTTCTCCAAATGATCAAGGAAGCCGATACCGATGGCGATGGCCAGGTGAACTTTGAGGAGTTCTCGCGGATGATGACGGCGGCCTGAACTCGATGATCTCTCTACGACATCAAAACCTCATGCAATGTTTTTTTATTACTGTGCAAAATCTTTTTTTGTTTATTTTCCTCTACGATATTGCCAATCTTCTTATTATATGTTACCGCAATGTATCGAACATGTAAACTAATTCCCCTGCTCTGCCTCTATGTTAGAGATCTATAATTTTAATATACAACACTAAAAGATTAGTAGTACCTCCATGTATTTGTTTACAGCTTATGGTTTATAATTACAACAAGAGACTGATGAAGAAAGGCAAAATGCTTTGGTGTTCATGTGAAAGTTCATGCTTGGGTTTACATCCAGCAGGAGTCTCTCTTTGATATACTTGTGGCAACATATTTAGAATTGATCCATTGCATGAATGCTTTTGCTACAACTATAAACTAGTAAACAAAGTACCCAATTTTATGGTGCCTGTCAAACCACAGTGTAATTTTGAGAAATGCTATGAAGAGTAGTTTCTACAAGTCATATGAGGTGGTACAAAAGTGAAAAAAAACATAGTTTGGAAAATGTATAAAGCTTAGGCTCATAAAATTGAAGCCTTTTGCATCATAAATCAGACATCAACCTTCTCAATTGTTGATATAAAACTAATGCTGAATGAATATTTGGCTCACATCCATCCCATTAACCTTACTATGCATTTCCATTTAGTTGCCATTGTACAAGCACAAGAACACTAGCACATGGTACTTCCCACAATCATCTTCCCAATGGATATATAGCACTGAGAGAGCTCAACTATCAAAAACATCCCTTGTGTTTGGTAAGTTTTTTCTTCCTTTTTTGTCCATATCAATGCACACAACATCCTTTCATCCACATTATCTGCACAGATAGACTTTGAAAATAACTAGTGATAAGGGACGGTACTACTGTTCTGATACTATCCTTGGTAGAAATTTAAGGAGACTTGGTTAGCAAGAAAAACACAAATTTTAACAGGAAATGCTGATGCAGTAGACAACAGTATGTAAACTGAAATTGCAAGATTACACAGAACAAGCTACTCAAGTAAGGCCTATGTACTTAATCAGACATTCAAGTCTTATAACTACTCCTTGACTGCCTATTACAAAGAAAACAAAATCCATGATAAAACACTTTACAAAGAAACTACACGAGGAATGCACCCCAGAAACAAAGAGCACAATTTCTGATCTTTGAACCGGCAATTGGTGTGCCCATATTTCAGCTTATGATGTCATCACCAACACGCTCCTGTTTCATAATAGCAGAATTTATCAAGTTAGTGGATGCTGCACCGCTCGAATAATGGAGAGTGCAAACAATAGGAACTACTACTACTACCAAGGACTCTAGTTCTACCTTGATGAGACTGGCAAGTTCATCTGCCTCCTGCACACCATCAGCAGCACCCGTTGATGACAAGTTTAACCAACCCAACTAGAACTTGTTTGACAAACTCAGGATTAAGCTTTGAGGGAACTAACTGATGTTATATCGACACATGATAAAGAGAGAAGCTGATTGAGCTGAACACAGACGGACATTCTGGTGACACTAAAAATTCGACAAACAACTACGACCTACATGCTCAGAGATAAGCTAACAGCAGAGTGTAAATCATCATCAGAAGTCCTCCCCCCAACTTGCTCTTTCAAAAAACCAGGAAGCGGGAAGTGGAACTTCGATGAACTAGTGAAGCACTAACTCTGATATTAGTTGAAGAACAACATCAAAGAGGAAAAATAAGAAAGCTTGATTCGAGATGGTGAACAAAAAGCAAAACATGCTCTGTTAATGAAGATTGTATGATGAAAGATGCAGATAACCTGAAGACATGCTCTAGGACTCTACTGTATGAGGTCATGATCATGCAACGTTTTACTAAATCTACAGAATCTACTAGGAACCTACAGGGATACCATTCTGAACATGGAACTTATAATTTGAATACAAACAATAAGTACCTAGAACTAGTTGACTCTTAAGGGAGAAATGGAAAGGGAGTGTCAGCTAACTCCAAATTTGAAGACTAATCCATCAAGAACCAACAAACTGTTTGGCATACTTGGTACATTATTAGCTTCACGAGGTACGTACTACTGAAGTCTCCATCATCTTACTCCTTCCAAGCCTTTGCAAATTCTTTCCTTCACATACACTTCCATTTCTTCGAACAAGCTAACCCCTCACCCATCAAGGGCAAAGAATGAGGCGTTCCTATAAGTTCTCATGATTCCAACTAGTGATTCAGTACTGGCTATACAGAGCTAAAGCCTAAAACCAACGAAAATACAACTATGTACAGAACCCACATGCCTCCAGTCCCATCAGTCATCAGCAATATCCAAGTGGAGAATCCGTCTCAAATTCTCAGTGGCGGTGGCAGTGGCGGTGTAGGGAAGAGTATCTTTGGCAGAAGAGGTTGACTCCCTGGTGGGAGAACATGGGGCTGACTTCGATATAGATCGGAGAGAAACCTCTGGTTTAGGAATGGGCAGCTCAAAGGAGACGCTCCGTTTCTGGCGAAGGGAAAATCTAGGAATTGGCAAAGAACTCGGGGGTGGTGAGTTCGAGTAGGCAGGCCCTGCCCATAGCTCAGAGTAGGAGCAATCACCATTAAAAGTAGCTCCTTTAGGAGAAGGTGGAGGGTTTATAGGAATGGGCTTGCTCCTCCTACTTCGTTTAGGTGGCTCCAGGTAGAAGCAAGGAGATTTGGGTGCGGGATGGCTGTTGAATGAAGAAACTCTTGAAGGAGGTGAGCATAGAATATCAGTGCCGGATTCAAAGGACCGGCAGTTAATCCCTCTGAAGGCTCTCGAGGGAGCAGAGCCGAATCGATCGGACAACTGCGACCTGCTTCTGCCGAAGCATTGATTCCGATGCTGAGAAACCACAACCAATGTCTCCATCTGAGGAGGAAGAAACCTTGGGAAGCAAAGTTGGTCACTTTGTGATCAATCACGGCAGAACCTAACAAATAAAGAAAATAGGCAATGAGCACATGCCAGTGGATCCAATCCATTATGAAAGCACTAACTCTGAGTTCGACAACATCAGAATCTAGGGATCCGAAGCTGCACCTTGCGAGATCAAGCTTCTTGAGGCCACACCACGTCGATCGAAGAGCTTAAACTACAGAAGCAGCACACGAGTGCACCTTTTACCCCGCTTCTCTAACAAATCCCAACGAAACGCACCCTAAAACGGCAGATCGAGCGTCAAGGAAATCAGATGACTAACAACAAATCGATACGAAAACCAAAGAGACAACCAAAACAACTCACCCACTGACAGAAAGTAAGAAGCACAGCTGAGTAAGACAGGAAGTGTCCGATCCCACTTGCTACCAGATTCCCATTCCCATGCCTGAGATTTCGAAAAATAAACCCAAATTTTTCGATCGACGACGGGACAGAATGGACCAGAAGAGGGTTTTGGGGAAGAATCAGGAACGATTGACAAGGGATGAGGCTAACGAGGCGTCGTCACCTTCGGATCTGAAATGGGACTCTGAGTTGGATTTAAATCCTCGGAGGAGTGAGCCACGCATCCGAAAAAAGCACGAAACCAGCACGTGCATAAAAGTCGTATGCGGGAAGGTTCAGGCCGTTAACGAGAAACGGAGGGACGGATCAGTGGGCCGCAGAGAAACGTTTCTAGAAGCGGCGCGAAACGAAGACTAAGAAACGCTCACGTACTTGGGTTTATTTACAAGGATTTGCCACTCTCCAAGTCTATCCTTCGACCGTGATAAGTGGAATCAATAATTCACACCCACAGGTGGGCCCAACGAAAGGACAAATGACGAACCCTCTTTCAGGTGGGCCCCACCTGCCGATGATGGTCTCCTTTGAGGTTACAAGAAGATTTTTACTATAATAATTTTTTTAAAGGAGAAATATAAATGAGAAAATAAATAATTTCCCACACTCCACAAAATTATAATCTATGTTACAAAATGGAGAAATATACTTGTTAATAGGAGAAAAAAAAGAGAGAAAATTATGTGCCTTTGATAGCATTTGCGATAACTATGCAATCATGACTTCTTTTGGAAAAGGTTTAAGAAAAATCTTAATGTTTCTCCCAGATATAAGTATTTTGCAGCAACAGTAGTGCAGAATAGTTTCATGCCTGCTTATGATCCAAAAGTTTGATTAGATAAAGATAATGAGCCAACCAAATGTTGCAAGAACACACTTTTCTATGTCGCTCACAGATATGTCAAGCAAGAGTTTTATTAGTAGATTGAACCTGCAATATCACATTTTCAAACAACAACAACAATCTTCGAACAAGGGGAAGAAAACCCATAGATGTCGACGGTAGGTTTTCATTGATACATTGGAATGTTGGTTAAACAACCTGTTTGCTCTTATGACTCTTCAACAAGGTGTACAACACAAACAAAATTTCAAATGCTGGTTCAACTCCAGAACATTAGCACAGCACAGGAGACTAACAGACAGTCAGGTCATCGTCGTCCCAAAAGCTTCTTCATTATGTACAGATACAACTCCAGATAAGTAGCACCAATGTGTCCGCATCTGTTCAACACACACATATTTGTATCAAGAAATATAAGCCGATTAGATGGCGATGGAGGAACAACTAGTAGACATATTTGACATACCACTGCTGGGCTTTCCTAAACTCTGTTAGGACTGGATATATGTTTTCGAAGGCAGTGTACGTCTCGTCTCTCACCTGAGAATGAGTTCCAGTATAATATATTAGCTGGAGGAAGTTTTTACAAAGTGCCATTCAAAGCATTACCTTAGCTCCTGTTATAACGATTTTTCCCGAGACAAATATGAGGAGCACAATCTTCGGCTGCTTCATCCGGTAGATCAGACCAGGGAAGAGCTCTGGCTCATACTGTTAGAGGCAACCAGCAACTAACAATGTTCAAGATATTGCAGCAGAAAAAGTTGTTATAACACAAGTAACAAGAGGAGGGAACTGTGGTGTAGGAATTCTGCAGGTTATAAGTTTTGTTGGTCCAGATAGATCACCGTAATTGAAAAGATAGGAAGAGTGATTTAAGCGAACATTACAATGACAATTGGCTCTACATATTAGCAGCACAGCTGCATCAACAAGAGCCAGTTGTGCTTAATATTAACTGAGTTACCTAATGTTTACTAGTGTCACAAATGATGTGAGAATATCAAATATCGAGGAAAAAGAAGACAAATGAAACACAGAGATAACAAAATAGTGCACAGCTGCAAATCACTACAAACAACAATAAAGCTCACATATGGAAATCATTAACATACACTGCAAAAGGCACCATGAGAGTATGCAAGGCCCTCCAGTCTTATCGGAAATTTGACATCGCATGAACCAACAATATTCTGGATCTTGAAATCCTAAGACAGCACATTAGAGTGTCAGACTAATTAAAACAAAATATATATGCAACAAAAAGGGTAGCAAAAGAGGCCAGCAATTCGAGAGCAATTACCTTAAATTTGGCTGGAAATCCAAGCTTCTGAATTATTCGAGCATACTGAAAAATCAACAATATCACGTTAAAGATAAGGACTCCTAGTTGCAGCCATCACTACATATGCTCATACAACAATCAATCTTATTCCTCTGTTACCAATGGAGAATTAAGATCAAAAGCATTTATGACTAAATACATTCAGTATTAAGTCATCAGACCTTCCTTGCTGCAAGTTTGGATTGATGCTCACTCTTTGCTCCAGTACATACCTGACATATGGATCTAGAAAGTAAGCAAAAAAACCATAACCTATGCAAGTGTTATGGAGTTTAGACATTGGATATTGCAGGTAACACAAATTTGCATAATGTCAGATAAGGCTTACAAGTCAGTAATGACAAACAATTGTTTATTTATTTACAAATCCAATACAACAGAAAGCATGCTGCTGTACTCCTTAGAAAGACTGTAAAAAACATTCACAAGCCACTAAAATACTGTCTCAAAACAAAGTTACCACAAACATTCATACAATATCTAATTTGAAATCCATAATTCACAAGAAAAGGGGCCATCAACTCATCAAACAATTTGAGAATGCAAAGTAGTCAATAGGGAAGCTGAAAAGTGCAAGAAGTATGAGAAACAATATAGCTCACATTCTCTACTACTCTCAAAATCAAATTACTCCAGATTCATTAACCTCTCATTCATTCTCAACCAAATTCTATCGCATCAGATGCCTTAACCTGCCATTTTCAAAGTAGATACAAAGATAGAAAGGCTAAGTTTCATCAGTCAAAGAATTAAATAGACTCTCTTAGTCCTGCTTAACTCAGACAAGCTCTTCATCCTCCTTTTAGTTTTTGAATTATGGACTTGATGTCTGGAACATAAAGGGCACAAGAGAGAGTCACAGTGGATTAAATTTATCACAGTATTAACTGCCTAAAAGGATTAGCCGTTGCATATTGTATATACATATGAAACCTTCCAACAAACCATAAGAAGGAAAAAGAATTACCATTTTTCCTGATGCAAATATCAATGCAGTAGTTTTTGGCTCTCGTATTCGCATAATAACTGCAGCAAAACGCTGCACCAAAGAACAGGAATAACAGATCAGCCAAAACACGTTAATCTACTATACTTAAAATGCAACGTTGGCTTAGTGGAGCATAAGGCCATAACATAATATCTAATATACTCATCTATGCATTTTAGTCTTTCCCAGTAATAGGGATCAGCTCTAGAGCTTGAGATTGAGAAAGCTCCATGTGTACATCTGGAAGACTCTACACAACTAGCTTCCAACCTCACATCAACAGCTGAAGTAGGTATTAACTTCCTATGTTTGAGCAAAAGTGAGAAAATTTAAAACTACCTTAGACATGAGAAGGTATAACGAAGGGTAAAGAATGGTCTTTCATCTAGGGAACAATGTTATCTCAAACCATAGACATAAAGGAGATCTTATCTGTGCCCATCACAGATAAGTAATATAATTGTATGTATACCAGGTTCTATGCAAAACATGATTGAAGCACCATGGTCATCTCAGTATATTACATATGGACTTTTGTGTATCTTGCTTACACTTCAAGTAGGTCCTTATCCCGACAGGCCTTAATTAAGTTCTTAGAGAACAAAACACAGATTTGCAACTAATGATCATACCTTTAGATCATAAATAAAAAGAATAAAGGTGGATGAGCAGCCATATCAGTGCAGAACACACATTCTGCAAGAGGGTCAATAAAAGCCCTTGCATCATACAGGATCTCAACATCTAATAATATCTCATACCTTCGGGTTATACTCAGCATTACGAGCTTGCAAAGCAATTGCTTTAAGATCCAACTTGCAGTCCAAATTAACAGTTGAAACAATATTCCTGGAACATTCAATAGCGGTGTTAAAACAGTGGAACTGCCAGAAAGGTTTCGGTAAGCAACAGACATATATTATGGTCGGTTCACATATTCAGCAATCTCTACCTGACATAGATTCTACCTGTTGACTTCAATAGAAGCTCAATCTGACATTCAGAATACCTTAGTGCTAAGTTTTATCAACAATTTAAAAACTTGATCAAGGTGGGAATCCTAAGAAAGCTTTTCTTTCTGCTTCTTTTCACATATTTAAAAATCTAAAGTGCCAATGTATAATACTAACATAGATAGAAACGTCCAAACTAATCAACAGGTAAAACAATTTGCCCCTTCTCATGTGGGTGTCACAAAGCTCGGGCTGAACAAAAGCCAAACCAGATAACAATATTGAGTGCTCAAAGGATAATTTATCTTAGACATATTATAGCTGACTCAAGCTCAGACATATTCTTGCAAGCTGGGCCTTCTGGTTCATTAAGCCAAACCTCATATGAGGCTTGATTCATTTCATTTAGTTATTTAAGAAAAAAATCAAAGCCATTTGCTACAATATTTTCCCCAAAAAAACATGCAAGCTGCTGGTATTGATTCATCAGAAAAGTCACATGACAGAAGCATCATAACTTTTATAATTCTGTATCATGGTCTGAAAAAGATCACACATATTGATGGTGAAATAAGAAAGCATAAATACATTATAACTTATAACCAAAACAAGAATAAAATTAACGATTAGAGAAAGATAATCTCACAGTAAAATGCAATAATCCTTTGAACTTCTTATGAATTCACCTCATCAATAAAAAAAAAGGAAGTGTTTTGATACTATAATAAACAACTTCCATGCAACACACAGTCCTTTCTTATCTCCACATGCTTTAAGCAGCTGTTCCATCTGAGAGCCGCCAGCCTAAGTTCTGGAGCGGACAGTTCTAATCAATTGATGGCATGGAACCTCACAGTTTAAAAAAATGTTCAAAGACGCTATGAAAGTCTTACAAACAAGGCCACAAGACATGAATAAAGGTAACAATGTGTCGTTTTAGCTTTCCAAACATCACTCAAGCACAAAGCTCAAAGGTTTGATATACATAAACCATGCTGCACAGTACTATACACAATCATCAGCACCTGAATTACAGATTGTTTCAACAGACCGTGAAAAAAACAAAGCACAGCTCCAGTGTTACCAAATTGTGAATAGTATATTCTTAATTAAGAGGAAGAAGAGTGAAATTAAATGGTTCTCCTCCAAACGGACTCAAGGAGGCGTCGGAGTTCATTAAGCTCATACAGTATCTAGCATGCAAGTTCCATAAGAACTACTTCATTAAGATGCAATACGATGAAGAGAAACTTACTGAAGCGTGGGAACAATGCCAGAAGGATGCTTAGAGAGATCGACGGGTTGGCTCTCATCCATGCCCTGATCTGCCATGCTCCACTTTCCAAATCCTCCTCCTGAAGAATCAAACAAAACAAAAATTTTCCTCTTCAACCCAACTCAATCCCTTCAAAATAGCCATCTTTGTAATCAAATCTCCTCAAATAACCTGACTTGCCTTGTAAACCAGCGATCTTAAAGGTTTTTATGTACTGAAACACAGAAATCCCCAAATTCTTCCAAGTCGAACAGCAGCAATCTGATCAGAGGAAGACAAAGACAGCAAGATCAGCATCAACAATTTATTCATCGAGTCTTTTCAGGCGACCGGAAGTAGACGACATGAGCCAACCGGAGCAAGAACGAGCAAAAACAAGAGATCTTACTATCTGACCTAACTCTTCGTCAAATGAACCGATATACCTCTGCAAATTCGAGGCTGTCCCTGGCGATTGGAGGTCGGAGATGCGAGGTACTTCGGCGGGAAGTAGTGGGAACGTAGATATATAGGTGAAAAATCCAAAAAATATTGGGCCTTTTATAGGGAGAGGAACGGATCGGGGATAAATAGGAGAGAAGGAGAGGAGAAGCGAACGAGGCAAGGCGAGACGAATGGAGGCATTCCATCGACGGGATCATATCTAGGGCTTGCCGTTTTACATATAGGCCCCTCAAAGTTCTTCTTTTCTAAGTTTCAGCATGTGGGTCCCACAACAAAGTTGAAATCTATATGAATAAGTGAATCAGATCGCAAAGAATTTAAGAAAATCAAATGATTAATAATACACTTTAGCTCTTATTCCTATTTCTTTTGTCCTCCCTCCAAGCCGCAGTCCAGCACGTGGGTGGCACGTGCAAGGCCCAAGAGACTTGGATCCGAGCCAGAGGGGCATCATCGTAGGGCGGAGATCTCACTATCATCATTAATCACTCATCGGCAGCCAAATCCTTGTTCACGACACGGGGAAAGAAACCCTAGCCGGAGAAATCGATGGCGATCGCGAGAACCGGGGTCTTCGTCGACGATTATTTGGAGTGTAAGGGATCTGACTCTCTCTTAGGTGATCTTGTCGATGCATCACTTTGCTTGTCTTCCTGAAATCATTCCTTCTTGGGTTTTCCTTTTTCTGTTTGTTTTCTTGAATCAAGATTCCAGCACGCTGGCGGTGGAGCTTCAGAGGCTACTCTCCACCATGAGAGAACTCGACGAAAGAGCTCATGGTATGTGATTAGTCCTCCCGGATTTCCGATGTTCATCGTGCGTAGATGAAGTGGTTCGTTGGGATTAATCAATCTTAAAATTGAATGTTCATAAAATGAAGGTTAGTCATATCTCATCTGTCCGTGCTGTCATGATGAGCTAAAGGTGGAAATGAATTCTTCATTTATTAATTAGAAAATTGTATTCCCCAATTGTGCAGTTGTGGACGTGATGGCTTCACTCAATCATATGACATGTTTGATCGACAAGAATTTTGTAGATACATGGACTATAAAATAAAAGTTTAGAATTCGGCTATAGAAACTAATCCATTATGATTATATTGGTAAAACATCACACTAACGAAAATTGCTATAAACATATTTTTCCTTAACCTGTGACAATAATGGTTACCCTTATGCGGTGCACAATGAATTTTTATATGTTTTATTTTATAGGCAGCGGTAATTCTAAGGAAAGTTTTGTGTGTAGCTCAAGAGAGGAAAGTACCAAATTGATTGCCCAACAACAAATTGCTTTGTCAAGTTGATGACATGTAAAAGTGGGTGTAGTTAATAGTATCTCTAATCATTCCCCTCAAGATTGTGAAAGTAAAACTGGGGGAAAGCAAAGGTGAACAACTAAATGAAAAAAAGGAGAACTTTTAAGTGTCAATTTTAGGGATTTCAATGTGGATATTTTGAAGAGTTCTTTTCCTATGAACTTATGCACCAATCTTGGTTTTATTTGATAAGCAACAAAAGATTTAGGATCCAAATGAATGCTATGGGATCATAGGTTCACAATTATTTGAACTTTGAGACAAAGAATTGGTTTCTTGGGTCCCAAATGATATGGAAAGATTTGCGATTCTTTCAAGGAAGAGGAAATTATGTGTAGTACAATGTGTGTGTTGTCTTTTGATTAAAGATAATAATGTAAATGCTTTTAAGAATAAGATGGAAAGGGAGGCGATTTGGAACTTTGATGAGGATAATATTAATATTATTTGGACTACAATGACTAATAAGATTAGGAGCTTAACAAAAGAGATTTCTGTTGAAACTAAAGATAGAGGTCTAACCTTAAGAGAGAGTTGGTGGTGATGTGAGGAAGTTCAAAAAATAATTTTTACTAAAAGATCATGTTTTAAATATTGAAAAAAATTATAAAAATGAGAAAAATTTAAAATATGTAAAGAATCTTAAAAAAATGCTAAATAAGCGTTTAGTATGACAAGATATAAAACTTATGATAATTTTTGTAATAAATTAAGTACCAAAGATGATGAAAAAAAATATATTGAATTGTTAAAGCCAGGAAAAGAAAATGTAAGGATTTAGATAATCTTAAATGCATTAAAGACGAAGATCAAGGAATACTTGTTAATGATAACAAGATTAAAAAAAGATAAAAAATTATTTTTATAAATTATTCAATGAATATTCAATACAAGGCTTAGATTTAATGATGAATAATAGTGGTAGATTTAATCAAGGTTTGAAATATCGTACCGTACCGACGTTTCGACATTCGCTCGGTACGGTACGATACAGTATACCGCTCGGTATATATATATATATATATATATATATCGTCCGGTAACGGGCGGTCCGTGTATCGGTTAATTGACGGACCAGTAAGTACCGCCCGGTACGGGCGGTATTATTCGAAACTGCATACCTTGGATTTAATAATCATAGATTTATTCATAAAATTAGGGCTAATAAAGTAAAATATACATTAAAGGAGATGAAAATAGCTAAGAGTGTGGGTCCTAATGGCATCCCTATTGAGATTTAAAAAAATTTAAGAGATAAGGGAGTAGTTTAGTTAACTAACTTAATAAAATCATAAGCAAGGTTTGTCATACCGTAGTGTACCGCTTGGTAGGGCGGTATGTATCGGTCCGATAGGGGATCGGTACATGTGGTTCATATTGATTTTTGATATCCCCATCGTATCGTGTGTCAGTACATCGGTACGATTTGATATGCATCATATCGATGGCCGATTGACACATTGGTACAAATCAGTAAGGCGAACCATGATCATGAGATTTGGAATGATGTTGATGAACGGAGAAAGAGTTTTTTAGTGCTAATTTATAAAAATAAGGATGGCATACAAAATTATTCAAATCATAAAGGAATTAAAATCATGAGTCATACTATGAAACTTTGGGAAAAAGTTATCGAAAGTGTGATAAGACTTGAAATAAATATCTCTGAAAATCAATTTGGTTTTATGTCTAGAAGATCGATTATAGAAGTTATTTATTTATTAAGACAATTAATGGAAAAGTATAGGGAGAAAAGAAAAGATTTGCATATGGTTTTTATTAACTTAGAGAAAGCCTATGATAGGGTTTTTAAAGATTTATTATGGTGGGTTTTAGAAAAGAAAAGTGTATTCACTAATTATATTGATCTTATTAAAGATATATATGATGATGTAGCTACCAATGTTAGAACTATAATGAGCATGCCTAATGTATTTCCTATTAGTATAGAATTACACTAAGGATCTACATTAAGTCCCTATCTTTTCACATTGATAATGGATGAACTTACTAGTTAGTTACATGATAGACCTCCCTAGTGTATGTTATTTGTTGATAATATTATTTTAGTTGATGAGAGTCTAAGTGGAATTAAATATAAACTTGAGCTATGGAGGCAAGCCTTATAAACTAAAGGGTTTAGATTAAGTAAGACTAAAACTAAATATATAAAATGTAATTTTAATGATTCTAGAAATAGACGAGAGAATATAATTAAATTGGATGGACAAGAAATCCCTGAATGTAAAATCTTTAGGTATCTTGGATCAATTATTCAATTAGATGAAGAGATCGATGAAAATATTATTCATAGAGTAAAAATATGATGGTTAAAATGATGAGGAGCGTCAGGAGTCTTGTGTGATTATAAGATACCTTTGAGATAAAAAAAAAAAATTTATAAGATAGTTGTGAGATCAATAATGCTTTATTGATCTGAGTGTTGGGCAATTAAGAAAAACATATACAAAAAGTTTGTTGTTGGGATGAGAATGTTAAGATGAATATGTGAAATTACTAAGAAAGAAAGGAAAAGAAATATTTTTATTCATGAACAACTAGGTATCGCTTCGATAGAAGATAAGATGAAAGAAAATCATTTAAGATGATATGACATGTGCTGAGGAGATTGCCAATTGTGGTAGTTAGAAGACGTGAAATAATTAATGTTAGTGATACGATGAGAGATAAAGGAAGACCTGAAAATACTTTAATAGAAACTATAAATAAATATTTAAATACTCTGAATTTAACTAAGTATATAACTCTTTACAAATCTCAATGGCGGCAAAAGATTCATATAGTTGACTCCAAATAGTTGGGACTTATAGCTTTGTTGTTGTACAATGTGTGTTGGAGTACACCACGTCTTTTCTTGTTTTGGTGGTTAGTAGCTACGGAAATTAGGTCCCTTTAGCTGCTAGTAAAGAATGATTGGAGAATGAATGAGCAATCCAACGTTCATGATTGGAGTGTGCAGGTAGGAAAGAATGTCCTTGTGAAAACGATTGGAATTTATGAATGAGCAATCCAGTGTTGATGCAGCATGGCTGAAATATCAGCTGCTAGTAACATGGTTACATGGTAGAATTTCAGCTTAGCAATATTGATGCAAATATTTAGATGGGATTTATGGAACTTCTAAGGTCTCCTTATATTGTTTTTGATGTGAACATTTTCATAAGTGAGAATTGATATCCTAAGATGACTTTATTAGCATGAAAAATGCAAATTGATAAGAAGAATGTATTAGTTCATAAATTAACATGAATTATGGTAGCTATAGTACCATCGACCAACTTTATATGAAAGTTCTTCCTAGTTAGTACTATTTGTACAGGCTTCCAGCAGTAAGCTGACTTAAATTAACATGTTTTTCTGTAATGATATATATGTGTATGTTTGCACAAGTGCAGATACAAACATGTTCTATAGGGTAGTAAAATGTGTAGACTACATAATAACGGTTTTCCTACTGAGTTAATTGTTTGGATTCTTTTGAAAATCTTTAGAGATCACAAGTACTCCAAGAGTCTCCAATGCATAAGCATATTAAAGCACAGTGATGATATCATGATGTCAATGGAGTATATTAAAGAAACACAGGTTGTTAAAAATTAGTTTTATGTGGGGTATAAAAATGTTTTCCTTCTAAAGTTATCCAATGCTTCTTTTTCATTTCATTCTTTTGGTTCTTAATTTAAATACCTTCAGTAGGTATGCTTCAGACCAATTCTTATGCTGTAACATCAGGTGATCTCTCATCTGCAGTAGGTATTTTCACTTCAGTATTTAACAGCATTCCTTGTTTGTTAGAATTGACTTACATTATCAGTAGATAATCTTAGATGAACACTAAACCTGGTTTGAAATATCCACTACTGTTGAGCAAGCAATGCTGTTAAATACTACTTTCTAATACCTATTTTGTGCATAATTTCATATTCATTCTGTCAAAGCTGTGCTCACCTTGATGTTTTTGTCTTTAGTAAATCTTGTTTCCCCCAACTTTACACAGGTATTATAAACCAGACCAGAGAGCAAACCAGATATTGTGTAGGAATGCCTTCTCACAACCCAAAGAAGGTAAGCCATGATGATGAAGAAGCAGAATTTGAGAAGATGAAAAAGGAGATAGAGGCTAGCCAGGAAAATGCCTTGAGCCTATGTACAGAGAAGGTTTTGCTAGCGCAGCAAGCCTATGACCTGGTAATATTATTTTGTTGGTTAGAAATTTAGAATAACTAATCTAATTTATTAACTTAAATTATTATCTTATTTTTGTATGTTTACTGCATTAATATTATTTTGTATATATATTATGTTGTAAAAAATTCTTTGTTATTGATACTTATTTTTATAAGTTCACATTTTTTGTGTATTATGCTAATTACTACTATACTTTGTAAATATATAGTTGTTTATATTATGTCATTTAATGTTTATTATGTTTCTTATATTTGTATTTACTTTTATTATATACTATAATTTATATGTTTTGAGATTTATATGACTTTTATGATTTAATAACAATTTGAAAATGCATTATTTTTAGTTAGAAAGAAGGGAGGGTTTTAAAGTGCAAATTATTTGGATATTATGATCAAGCTGTTTTGGAATTGGAACAAGGTTGTTAAAATTGTAATTGGGGCCATAGGATTGTGCTATCTTATAACCCAGATTAGGCCTAGCGAGTTGGGTTGGTCATTGAAACGGTAAAAATGGTGGAATCGGCCTGACTCGTGAGTCGACTTGGCTCGTCCTTATCGAGCCAACTCGATTTGGTTTATATGAAAAAAAAACTCGCCTTGAAGTGGAGGCGTTGTGTGATGCTGCAGAGAGATGGAGAGCAAGAGCCCTAGACTTCTTGCGATGAGAGTACTGTTCTTGTCTCCCTTCTCCTACCCTCTCTTCCTTTCTCCTCTCCTTTCTTCTCCTCACGTCGTCTCCCATCTCATCTCATTTTTTCTCCTCCCCTCTTCCTGTCTCATCTCTTCTCTTTTCCTTCCCTCTTCTCCCATCTCTTCTCCTCTTGCAAAATATTCTCTCGTCTCCTGCCCTCTTCTCCTTTCATCTCTACTCCCTTCCCTTCTACTGTTCCTTTTTTGTACTAATGGCAAAACATATTCCAACTTGGTAGGAAGCATGACTGTATGAGGTTCAAGTAATTTTAGAAAAAATGATGAACAATATGATTTTCTTCTTTTCTTCTGTTTCTGAAAAGCTACTTATCTTTCTCCTGTGGCACTTCTCTTGTACGATTTAGCATTAAAAATGATGAACAATATGATTTTCTTCTTTTCTTCTGTTTCTGAAAAGCTACTTATCTTTCTCCTGTGGCACTTCTCTTGTACGATTTAGCATTAAAAATACATATCAATTTGATGGAGAGTAAGTTCAAGTACTGCCTGCATCAGCAGAAGCATAGAAAAGCTTGCCTAGACATATCATGGCTACTGTAATGCATGTTTGTCTAGCTAACTTGTAATGGCTCTAGTGTAAAATGTAGATCTCTCCTTTCCTCTTGTTCATGTACCATAATGCATGTTTGTTTTTGTGCCCTTATGGTAGTCAATGTGAAAATTACTTCAGTGGATGATTTCTTTATTATTTTTAATTGGTTCGTAGGATTCTACAATCTGACAATCTGATTTTACTAACCGAGTTTATGGATCCTCGTCCGATCTTTGGTAGGAAAGTGAGTTTGACAACCATGAATTGAAATGAGAATGATATTACCACAATCCAGACATTAATAATGGGAATTAATGATTTCGGTTCCCATTCCTGGTTCACTTTCCTTATTGCTGAAAGAAAAATTAATCAGCTCTTACTAATTCTTACTTGGGTCTTCATATACAGCATAATTTAATCTAGAAAATTTCACAGATGATCTCCCAGAACTTTTAAAAGTGTCAACTGAAAGACTTACCATGACTCAAAAGAAGAGCTTGAGCAGGGACACCAACTTTATAAATTACAGTTTATGTTGAAGTGACTCCCTTAGATTTATCCTGATTTGGAAATTGCATAATGAATGTTTTGACAAGCTTTCATATTGGACTGGGATCAAATTTAATTGCTCCATTATAAATATTGATTTTCATTAAATACCAGAATCAGCAAAATAGAATTGACAAATTGCCTTTGGACTTATTTATCATTTGAGAACTTTTGGACCCAGATCCCATAGTGTTCTTGAAGTCCCAGTGTGCTATTCATTTTCTTTTTACATGATTACTACATATCTGTTTTATTTTTTTCATCATCGATGATGTCAACATGATTACACACTTATTCTTGCAAAATACTATATTTTGCAAAATGGTGGACTTTTAAGTAAGAGGGACTGTCTTTAACAAAACTATCCTCCTGTTTTTCTTATTGCACACACTATTTTGGGGAAGGAAGGTTTTTATCGTGCAGAAGTTTTGTAGCAAAAATTTTAGCAAGATTGATTGGTGCGTAAATCCAGGATAGTTTTTAGCATCTTGATATACTCATCCTTATTATCTTCTAGGTGTTGATGTAATAAGATATACATCTACAAGATCAAGATTATCATCAAGAAGGAAATATAAGGCAGTCTTTATTAATGAGTCCTCTTAATAATGCCCTACTTAGCTAAATTGCATAACTGTTATAGCTGTTGCTTCATTAGCACTTGTTCTTTAAAGCTACTGAGGAAAAGAGAGTTCCATCATTTACTTATAGTTATAAACTTTAGGCTGTTGTCTACCTCACACCTTTCACTATACAAGCTCGTGCAGAGTATTGATAGTTCATTGATAGTTCGTAGACCTGTAGGTGAGAGTATCAGATATTCAAATGTTCAGGAAAAGTGTTTCTTTAATGTGGAACACATTATTGGAATGGAGAATAAAACATGCTACTTAATGTTCCTTTGAAAGATTTCATCCTTTATGATGTCTGGCTCATGACATGCATGTCGATGTTCTCAGAGTTCACTTAAATGCATTACTCAATTTGAAATTTCGGTGAAGACTTGTGATCCACATTCCAACAAAATTGGCATGTTGCTTCTTTCCTGTTCTTTCATACTTCCTTTTGGATCAAACTAGATGTAGGTCCTGCTCAACTAAGGTGGGATGACATGCAGATAGAGAGCCATTTGAAACGCCTTGATGAGGACTTGAACCAGTTCATGGAAGACTTAAAGCAAGGTACTTCATTTTTTTAGTTGGCGATCATTGACTTTGGTTCATAGTTGTCTTATTTAATTCTGATGCTGAGTGGTAGTTCTATAACCATGTACGCAGCCTTAGCCGACTGGTTTGGTCCCCTCTGCATCTTGATGAAAGTCTGAATATGGATCCTTGTGGATGTCATGCCCATGTATTTGAACCTAGTTGTTCTTTAGAAGTGGGTGATAGTTCAAACAGATTAAAATAATAGTACTTGAAATCATTTTTTTGCAACTTAAAAGTTATATTCGTCAAATTTTGCTGCTACTTCATATAAAGGTTATGTTCTTGAAATGATTGGGTATCCTTTTTGCTTGATGACTAAATAAGTTTGCTGTTGTATTAACTGTTCAATTTAACTAATATTGCTATCAATATTGAACAGAAGGAAAAATTCCACCTCATGAGCCTGCCATTCTTCCTCCAGTTCCTATAGTTTACAAAGATGAAAAACGCAAGGGAGGTTATACGACACCTCAACCAAGGAAGTTTAGAGAAAGGGATTGGGGCAGAGAGCAGGATATGGATATTGAATTTATGCCTCCTCCAAGCAGTCATAAGAAAAATATTCCAGCATCTGTTGATGTTGATCAGCCTATTGATCCAAATGAGCCAACATATTGTGTCTGCCATCAGGTTTTGTACAACCTATATAAACAATTTACATTATGTACTAACCATAAATACGTACAGAATACTTTTTTAACCAAACCTATACTTTTTGTTCTCCATATTTTCAGGTGTCATTTGGAGATATGATTGCATGTGACAATGAAAATGTAAGTTTCCTGCACTATATTATCTGGTTTATTATTGCTTGCGGATTTTCACATTGAATTGAACATTTTCTTCTACGAGGCATTCTGCAAGTCAAGTTTGTTTTTAGCTGCATCTTTTATCTGTTCAAGAACTTCCAATCAACTGACAGTAACTGACATAAATAAGTGAATAGAAAATTGTTTTGCTAGCATTCTTCTTCTTTCTGTTTTCCTCTATGATTTTCTATTTGAAAATTCTTTTGGGACTGTTTTAACATTAAATCCAGGAACGTAGGTGTTATTTTCCTAAAGCATCAGCTTCAATTTGGAATTCCATTTGTTAGTTTTCATATCTTCGTTCTTAACATTTACACTGAGAGTACTTCTCATCAGAACTTAATGCTTTTGAATTTTGTTAGATCAAAATCTTCATTTTATATAATATCAAACTAAACTGTAGATGGGACGTAATGGCTTTTTGTTGTTAATTTTGCCCGATCTCTTCCTGGTATTTATCTGTCGTCTATAATAATTTGCCCAACATCTTTACCGTCAGCTTGTATCATCTACTTTTCATTTGGTTGTTTTCGATCCACAGTGTGAGGGAGGTGAATGGTTCCATTATTCATGCGTTGGACTGACGCCAGAAACAAGGTTCAAAGGGAAATGGTTCTGCCCCACCTGCAGGAATCAACAATGACTTTTTAACCGATGGTAGATTATATGTAGCTTATGTAGGAGGAGCTTTCCCCCCTTCCAAAGAACTATTGTTGCTCGGCGACATTAGATGACTTCTTTTCCTGTAACATTTGTAAGCAGTGGGAGAACTCATTGTTCTGATATCTGTATATTGCTTTTAGGCGGTGGCATCTTTTAGTTGATGATATTCTCGTTACTTTCTTCTTGTAAAGATTGTAACAAACCGAACTAAATATCTGATTTGCTAATCCTAAAACCCTCTCCTCCCTTGCGTTTGGATTTACCGTTCGAATTTCATAGATATTGAATTATAATAAAGAAGTATAAATAATAGTTGACAATATATATTATCTTCATGTAGTAATATGATTTATGATTTTTATATGTTACTAAATATGATTTATGATTTTTATTCGTTATAAATATGATAAATAGTTTGTTTATGTTTTTTATTTTTAAAATTTAAATATATTTTTTTAAAAAAATTATATATTATTTTTTTAGTGTCTTGCTAAATAAATGTTGTTTGATCATGTACAAATATTAATGTTTATTTTAAGTATAGTATATTAAATGTTAGACTTGGATATGAGGTTAAGTTATAATAATAAGTATATATATAATAAGTAAAAATGATGGTTGAATTTTAAATGACTTTATGTTTTAATTTTAGAGGCATAGTCATTTCGATCGAGAGTGAATCATTTATCGATACTCAATTGTCTATATAAAGTGATATTCGGCTATGTTAGATCTAGAACTTCTAAACATATAACTCTGGTATCAAACAGTGAAGTACTCACACTTAACATCTTTGATGTCTTAAGTTTAAGATCAAATACACAATTAGAATTACGAAGTTACTATGTGACAATGAGGTATCATCAACTATCCAATATTTCGTGAGCGGATCAATCAATGACTTCATTTTTCAATGAGCACCAATATTATATCCTTAGTGTCCCCATACGAGCAGCTATAAGACCAGCCTCCTCTATCATATGGACGAGTATACAACACATCAATATGTTTAGTTATCTTAATGTTCCTCTCGAGTAACTTACGATCGGGATTTTTAGGGTTTGTGTTTAAAGATGAATTGGTCTTATTATCATGATCTCATCGTGATCTGATTCTCATTGCATAGATCCATGAATATCACAATATATATAACATGCAATATAAAGTAAAAAAATATCAATAATAATAAGAAGCAAAAAGACTATGTAGCGTGTCACACGTGTCATCACTCATGTGATTAGCTTATGGGGCACCTATGACTAGCAATCCTCTGATTTGTCGGGCTCCCTTAAGCGAGTATAAGCTCTAGAGCAGTTCAACTCTCCAACCGCTCCGATCATACCTTTGTATGATAAATCTCCTCATGAGAATCATTAGCACTTGCACTCGAAATTTTCATTTGGTGGTACACAACCCCCATATACTGATGACTAAGGCTTTCATCTGATATAAACTTCGATGCATGCATGAAAGACCCGCCTCTACATTCACTCCTTAAATCTATGGCCCTTCCTGTCGTCATATTGTTCATCGAATTGGAGCTCTCAGTAGCTCCTGATTATACCCACGTATGACCTAGTCCCTCGTAGGACTTATCTCATGTGTTTCACATTATCTCAAATTATTCCACCATGTCCGTTATACCATGTCGCCTCTTGGTGACATCTCCATTGTATACTGATTATTGTGAGATGAACTTAGACTGCGATCTCTCGATGCATGGCCACTGCCAACACATCGCAGGGCCTCAGCCACCTCTGATTGTGTTTGCTCCTTTGTCAATCGATCTTGGTCCACCCGTTCTCAGGTCACACACAAACGAAACACAGCTCTAGAACAGTCCATCACCTAGTAGCTCTCGAAGTCTACTGACTTAGTTGAAATTGGTGTATCATTGTTTGGATCTTAGACCTCTACCCCCATTAGCACAATCTCCGTTGTGCACGCTTTCTTCAGAGCAACTCGAATGGTAGCACCGTGTCATGTTCTTTAAGAGTATCTGCCTCTATATCCTCTTGCCTTATGCCAAGGCCTTCTAACTCCAAATTCACCTCCACAAGTTGAGTCTCCTTAGTTATTCCATCAAATGCTTTTCCGAGATAAGGTGTATGTGCCTCCTTTCAACTTTGGTACCATGTAGGATGAGTTTGCTCCATCAAGATGAGTCCAATCTCATCATCTTTGGTACATATCCTACTTTGCATAGTCTCATCCTTTAGCAAGAGCCCCACTTGCCTTAACAACCGTTAAGTTTAGTTGCCAATGTCGAGTTGTAGCTCAAACTCAACCATCTCAACGTTTGTATGCTACGCATTCTTCCTAACTTATTTGTTCTCGTGGTGCCTTTTGTGCGAAGGGTTGATCATTCTTTTGAACGCCAATCTCGAGGGCTCACTCCTTTGAATGACTCATTTCTGTACATCTCAATACTCGTTTCCCCCAAAGAGTCATGCGCATTGGTTGCCTTTGATGCAGCCCCGCCAAGTCCCCCACATTTATATGTTAAAGTGTTTCTATGTATGCTTGTCCTACTCTGATACCAAATGTCATAAACTTATATGGTTTTGTCTATGTCGCGTGGTATTCTTGTTTGTCCGTCTACAAAACTCAGCCTATCTGAAACCTCCTATAGTCCCTTAGAACATACAAATGAGAAAATGGGTTAGAGAAAATGTTTCACTTGGGATCCACACGAAACCATTTTAGCAAACACTTTATAGTCAATGCAAATTACAAATATAAACTTCATAAGTTTTGAACGATCACGCAACAAAGAGTCCAAAATGATCCATTACAAATCGAAATGCCCATATGACATAACCTTCGTTTACAAGCCTAAATCGGCCACCAAAACCAACCAAAATGGGGCTGCTAAGCCTACTATCAGCCCTCTACATGTCGTGCAAAGCATGAATAAAACCGAAAGACACAGACATACATGAGTATTCCAACAAATGTCACGTTTACAGTTTGTTCGTTATAGTGCGATGTGAGAGTGCACGTATATATTATGATATAAGGTATGAAAATATATGAATTTGCTATGTTTTCTACGTATGTAAATAAGTATTTTAAATTATTTTAATATAAAAGTTTTCATCTTATATATATAAATAATATATATATATATATATATATATATTAAATATATGATATTTCTATTTTCTTTTTATTAGATGATATAAATATATACAAATGTCTGATATATTTATATACATATGTCAAAAACACTATGTATAAAAAAAAACTTATCATTTTATATAATAAATTAATATATTTTAATTAAAATATATTAATAACAGTAATAAAAATAAAATCATATAGCTCAGTTTGATAAGAGTAATAAAAATAAAAATATGACATCCAACTTTATCCATAAAACAACCATATATCTCAGTTTGTTAAGCCGTTTCATCTGAAAAGGCACCCATTAATCGTTAATGGTCTTCCAGTTTCAAATTTCACATTTTATAGGGAACCAACATCAGAAACTAATCAGTTCGGACGAAGTTAGAGAAAACAGGCGAAGAAGTTTCTTTCATTCACCATATTGGAAAATCATAACTGGGGATCCCTAACTGTGACGCACATCCACAACTCCGACTAATAGAAGCCTTGCAACTTTGTTGTGCCATCGTACTGTCATTATACATACCGGACACAAAAGCGAGAGATACCATAGAGCTACGGTGATCAATTTTCACATTTCTACTTGACACACGCACACGGACACAACACTACATCTACATCTTGTAACTATTAGCCGTTTTGATCTTAGTGATCTCATAGCCGAGGCCTTACCCTTCGGCCGCTGGAATCTCCACCGTCTGAGAGCTGGGCCCAAACACTCCGGTCTTTCCCACCGTCGCTGGATTCATCTCCAGCACCGGCAATTATCTTCAGGAGTTCTGACTGCAGTGACGGGCAATTTTCTTTGAGGTGCCGGAATCCACTTGAGCGCATGACAGCTGCATATCCAGAGAATTCCATTCCAAACATGAATACAGCAAAAACAGAAAAAACGTCCAAATGCAATCACTGGATTCTCAGTCCATAAAAATGACTGAATTTTTTATTTTCTAAGAGGACTTGCTGCCTAGGAATATTTACAAGGATGTAACCTAGAACAAACAGCAACAATAGTAGTAGTAATCCAAACGAAAGCATAAGAAGCATCAATCTATTCTCAAAATTCCCAGCACCAAGAATGACTGACTAAAGACTTATTAGCTAACAACTTAAATAAAAGGCTGCTTGTGGTGTCCAAACACTTATCAAGACTAGGATAGTTAAAAGTTGAACAGAGGAATGACAAGAGAATAACATAGCAATAGAAGATCATTTGCTGATTTTTCTGACATTTCAATAGGTGCAATTGCAACTTGTCAAAATTATTATATGTGATATTTAATAGCTGCCATTTTTTTTTTTGTTATTGTAAACCATGATGCTGAAGCAGGAACACAGATCCTAAGGAGCCACAACTGTCCATGAATTTATCCTCTGTTCACACTACGTTGTTGGTCACTTGACATACTGTATACGTCCTACTGAATCTTAGATTAACATCCAGCCATGCCTATTCTTATTTTTGCAGTAGGATAGTTAACAATGCACTTTACAGATACCACTTCTCGTCTTTTTTTTTTGTCTTTCCATCTCCTCTCTTATTCTTCTTACTCTCCTTACTCTGCACCTTTTATTTTCCTTCCCCATTGATTCACAAAGAGCTGTTGGCAGGTAACCAGAATTGACCAAAATCAAATGATTCCATCTTGTATCAGCCGAGACAGGCTGAATCTAAGGCATGTAGTTTGCATCTGAAACATGTTGATGCAGGGGTACACCAACAACCAAGATGTTTGACTAGGATTCTTTTCATAAATTTCAATGTGTACGAGTTATCTCATTGGATGTAACAACTTTCACAGCTAATGAACCTAAATGTTCTTTGCATGTTGATTCATGTCTGGAACATGATGATACAGGGATATGCACCAATAACCAAGAGATTTGAGCAATTTTTTTCCTCCACGAATTCCAATGTGTATGGACTATTTTCATTGCATGTAACAATTTTAATAGCTAATGAACCTAAAGTTCTCATAACCATTTTAATATAAGATGATGTATATGCAATAATCATTCTGTCTTACTCTGGAAATTTCTAATATTACATTATAAAACTCAAAAAGCAAGCTCCAAGTATGAAAAAATACAAGTGTAATAAGTGCCAA